CCCTCTCGCTGGCCGCGGCTCGGTCGCACCGCCCCTGCCGGCGACCACCCGCCCTGAGGCCGTCACCAGCCGCGGGCATGGCCTCGCCGTCCCTGCGGGCGAGCGCCCTCTCGGCCTCGGCTCCGCCCTGGCCCCGCCGTGCCGCTGCTCCGGCCACGGTCGCCGTGCGCCCGCGCCACAGTCCTGGGGGCTTCGCCCTGCGCCCAAAAACTGCCCGATCGGGCGCACCCGGTCCGTTAGGCCCCTATGGGCCTATGACAAGTGGGGCCTCAAGCCCCCAAAACAAAAAAAAGAGATAAAAATATATATATATTAATAATAATAAAAATATAATTAAATTAATTAATTAATTAATTAATTAATTAACTTAATTAATTATGTTTAATAAACCTAATTAAATAACTAACCTAACTAATCTGTTAATTAATCTAATTAACATGGTTAATTAGTTAACACACAATGACAGTGGGACCCACATGTCAGTTTGACTAGGTCAACTGACTAGTTGACTGCTGACGTCAGCATGACATCATGCTGACGTCATAATTCCATTTTTCGAATTAATTAAATATATAATTAAAATCAGAAAATGTTTTAAAATCTTTAGAAAATCATATCTTTTAATCCGTAACTCGGATTAAAATGTTTTCAACATGAAAGTTGCTCAGAACGACGAGACGATTCCGGATACGCAGTCCGTTCGTCCGCCACACCCCTCTAACCTATCGAACCCGCAACTTTCCCCCTCCGGCTCCTCTGCCCGAAAACACGAAACACCGGGAATACTTTCCCGGATGTTTTCCCCCCTTCACCGGTATCACCTACTACCGCGTTAGGGCACACCGAACACCGCGTATTGCCTTGTTATATTTTGTGATGCTTTGTTTGCTCTGTATTCATTATTTCTTCCCCCTCTTCTCTCCGGTAGACTACGAGACCGACGTTGATGCCACCGAGTACGACTACGTCACCGACGACCCCTCCTTGTCTGAGCAACCAGGCAAGCCCCCCCCTGATCACCAGATATCGCCTATTCTCCTCTATACTGCTTGCATTAGAGTAGTGTAGCATGTTATTGCTTTCGTTAATCCTATTCTGATGCATAGCCTGACATTGTCGCTACATCTGTTGATACCTTACCTGCAATCCTAAATGCTTAGTATAGGGTGCTAGTTTATCATCATTGGCCCTACATTCTTGTCAGTCTGCCTTGCTACACTATCGGGCCGTGATCACTTGGGAGGTGATCACGGGTATATACTATACATACATACATACTACAGATGGTGACTAAAGTCGGGTCAGCTCATTAAGTACCCGCAAGTGATTCTGACGAGGGGGCTGAAAGGACAGGTGGCTCCATCCCGGTAGTGGTGGGCCTGGGTTCCCGACGGCCCTCGACTGTTACTTTGTGGCGGAGCGACAGGGCAGGTTGAGACCACCTAGGAGACAGGCGGGCCTGGTCTTGTTCGGCATTCGCGGATACTTAACACGCTTAACGAGATCTTGGTATTTGATCTGAGTCTGGCTACAAGCCTATACGCACTAACCATCTACGTGGGAGTAGTTATGGGTATCCCGACGTCGTGGTATCAGCCGAAGCACTTCAGACGTCAGCGACGGAGCGGCGCGCGCCGAATTGGACTGGAACGCCACTAGGCTAGGTCTGCTTTCGGCCGCGTACGCAACGTGCAGGTGTGCTATGGGCGATGGGCCCAGACCCCTGTGCGCTTAGGTTTAGACCGGCGTGCTGGCCTCTCTGTTGAGCCTAGGTGGGGCTGCGACGTGTTGATCTTCCGAGGCCGGGCATGACCCAGGAAAGTGTGTCCGGCCAAATGGGATCGAGCGTGTTGGGTTATGTGGTGCACCCCTGCAGGGAAGTTAATCTATTCGAATAGCCGTGATCTTCGGTAATAGGACGACTTGGAGTTGTACCTTGACCTTATGACAACTAGAACCGGATACTTAATAAAACACACCCTTCCAAGTTCCACAGACAACCCGGTGATCGCTTTTCCGCAGGGCGACGAGGAGAGGATTGCCGGGTAGGATTATGCTATGCGATGCTGTTTGGAGATGCTACTTGGAGATGCTACTTGAGGATGCTACTTGGAGGACTACAATCTACTCTCTTCTATATGCTGCAAGACGGAGGCTGCCAGAAGAGTAGTCTTCGACAGGATTAGCTATCCCCCTCTTATTCTGGCATTCTGCAGTTCAGTACACCGATATGGCCTCCTTACACATATACCCATGCATATGTAGTGTAGCTCCTTGCTTGCGAGTACTTTGGATGAGTACTCACGGTTGCTTTTCTCCCTCTTTTCCCCTTTCCCTTCTACCTGGTTGTCGCAACCAGATGCTGGAGCCCTGGAGCCAGACGCCACCATCGACGACGACCCCCTACTACACCGGAGGTGCCTACTACTACGTGCAGCCCGCTGACGACGACCAGGAGTAGTTAGGAGGATCCCAGGCAGGAGGCATGCGCCTCTTTCGATCTGTATCCCAGTTTGTGCTAGCCTTCTTAAGGCAAACTTGTTTAACTTATGTCTGTACTCAGATATTGTTGCTTCCGCTGACTCGTCTATGATCGAGCACTTGTATTCGAGCCCTCGAGGCCCCTGGCTTGTATTATGATGCTTGTATGACTTATTTATGTTTTAGAGTTGTGTTGTGATATCTTCCCGTGAGTCCCTGATCTTGATCGTACACATTTGCGTGCATGATTAGTGTACGATTGAATCGGGGGCGTCACACGCGTTCACTTCTTCCTCCCATCCTATCGCGCATACCTCCTCCCATCCTGCACCACGGCCTGGAACCGGTCGGCTAGGGCCTGTATCAGAGTTCTAGAGCAGCCACTCGCTCCACTCATAAGTTCTCGGATCAGGGACTCCATCGCTACACTCGTCAGCTAGATGTCCCATTAGGCCACACACAAAGCAAAAGTCTGACAGCTTGTCATAAAAGACACTGTATTTCTTCCTTTCCTTGAGAGTAATTGGTACAAACCGTACTTGTGGGGTGGCCACATCCAGAAAAACTCTCACCCGTAACGCCTTGCCTGGATTTATAACACCTTCATTAACTATGACAGTGAATGGTGGTTCACCCACCTTTGCAGCAACTTTCTCCGCTAATTCCTTCTTCGCCGTCAAGCCATCCGGGAGACCCTGGATCCTAGCCCAAACCGGGACCTTGTTAAGCTTGTATTTGGTGACATCTGAGAAACCATCATACTCCTGCAGCACAACAAGTGATTTGCGAAACAGCCAAGGTCCTCCCTCCATTATCTTCTTCCAGGCCCCCAAGCAATGGCATTGCACCAAAAAGAGATTTGGATCCTTCACATTGAAAGTAATCCCCTTAGCTGATGCCCAGGCATTACACATCTGGGTCAGCAGCGCCCCGTGGTTGAACGGGTGGGTGGTATGCACCTTGAACAGAGCCAGCCAACGAACTCCCTGAATCATGTCATCAACAACCTCCGAGAAGTCCAGATCCTCCTCTTCTTCACCGTGCAACTTCATCCCCTCAAACTGATCAACCAGATATGGCTCTGGTCCGTAATGGTCATAGCCTTTCTCTTCCTCATCCCGGTCCAGCTCATCCACCTCTTGCGCCTCTATTCCCTCTGCCATAGGATCCGCTCCAGCCGCCGCCGCCTCAGACCTGGGTTCTGACGAATCTCCCATCGAGCCCTCCTGCTCCGCCGCCGCCGCTAGGGAGTATGACGGATCCCCCATACAACCCGTGTTCCTTTTCGCAATATAATGGTGTGGATTCCCCGCCGCTGGACGGATCCGAGCGTTTGGCAGGATATACGTAGACTTCGTCGAATAGATCGGCAGAGGAAAACAGGGAACCCTAGAAACCCTAGGGGAAAAGAACGCAAAATTCACACAAGCGTAATTCTCAATTAGTGATTTCGCAGGCTGGGGCTCCCAACCAAAAACAGGCTCTAAAGAGAAATCTGCCGGATGGTACGCCCAGATAACAGGCCCATACAAAGGCCGAGAAGGCCCCGTTGGGCCCACTAAATCCTCGTTTCTTTTACAGTTACCGAACGCCGCAGATAGAGCTCACCGCCACCCTCTTCCATGGCTTCGCCACCACCTCCTCGCCTCCGCTTCCGCCGGTAGCCAGCCCCCTTTGCCCATCGGAACTGGCGACCACGCAACCGTCCACGCTCTCAATGGCAGCAACGAGGGCGGCGGCGGCCACCTTTGTCTCCCCCTCCTCCTTCGGCCGCCGGAATATCGCATGTTCCTCCTGTTCCTCTCTCCACCTGCGCCTCACAATCCTGCCTCCCCGGTTCGCTCCTCTCGTCGCGCGCCCCACGAGGCAATTCCCCACACACCAACGAATACGTATTCATGTATGTTCGTAGAATCGTAGCGTGCCGGGTGATCCCAATGTGGCGAAATTCCTTACCCCAATTTGACGCTGTCGGTGGGGTTTCATTTTTTCCGTTCAATTATCGCAATGCTTTATAAACTTAACCTTATGATGACCAAAAGGTTCCCTGCGGTGGCGGTGCCGTTGAAGCGCGGCGGATGTGTACTTGCAGCTGCATCGGCGGCAGGGGCAGGAAGCCCTCACTTCGGCAGTGGGGAGAATGATAACCCGTACGAGGTAGAATTGGTTATTTTCATGTTTAGCAATTGGGAGCCGCTCTTGTGAGCATGTTTGCCGGCCTTGCTGTAACTTATGGTCCCTGTTGCCAGATTTGGGCCATCAGTCCGCTTGATGGGTTCGACCAGGTGAAGATGGCCTACAAGTGGCGTCGAAAGAACGCCGAGAACAGTGGTGATGCTGCATACTTGTTGAAGGTAGTTTTGGGTCCTTGGCATTCTGTATTTGGTGCTTGTGTTAGTGTTAGTGTGTCAATGAGTTAGAGCTCTTCTGATTTCAGTTAGAGACGGCTTATGATACGATCATGATGGAACAGGTGCAGAACCGGAAGAAAGGTGTGGCATATGGATCAGTCCAGGTTAGCTTTCACGACGGGCTTGCCCTTGTTAAATATGGAAATTCATGTTGTCCATCCAATCAAATGTTCACATCAGCTGGTATACGACTTTGCTTAGGATGAGATGTAAGAGGTATTGTAGTTGCAGGACCATCGGCAATCTATATGCTGTTTTTCGAAACAAGTCCTTTAGATCAAGGTAGTGAGAACCGTGATTCTGAATCCTAATGGAGCTCTGATGATAGGATCGCAAATTGTAGAATCTTAACTATCAGAATCATTGAGATGTGAATTCTACTAACGAAAATCGTAGAACCAGAGTGGTTAGTTTGAATCGTAAAGTCGTATAACCGTACAATAAAATTGCCATTCTGACTACCTTGCTTTAGATGCTTGCCCGGAGTCTCTCAATCAGTGGATCAGTGGACGCTTGCAACCAATTGTCCAATTCATTGTCGCTCCTTGATAAGTTTCTTAATGCTGAAATAAGCACATAATTGCTATGTTGCAAATTATTTGCTGATGAGCCACATAGTTTTGTTTAACAAATGTTTTAAATTTTTGTATAGAGATATATATGTAACCATCTATGGGTCTATGATTAGTTGGTCACTTTAGAATGGTTGCTTTGTCGAGCACTGTCAATTATGTTGCACTGAATTCAACTTCATTTGGCTTCATGGATATATTGCTGGATGCAAGGAGTTTGTACTTCTTGGAATCCATCAAAATCTTTGGCTAGCTGTTACGTGGGGAACCACATATGGTCGGAGGGCCGCAGCCCTGGCCGCACCACCCCCTGGTCCAGCCCAAAGTGGCTATGTTATAGTACGTAATGGGCCTAATGGCCTGGGCTGGCGGTATAGCCCGTTAGTCTTAAGGTTAATTAGAGATAAGGGTCGCTTGCTTAGGGGTCAAGTAAGCCTTGCTTGGGAGTCAAGTAAACCTCTCTATATAAAGAGAGGAGATGTATCAATCTAATCAAGCAAGAATTAAGAAGGAAATCCCTTCCATCTTGCCTGGCCGTGGGCAAAAGGTCCCCGGTCGGCCCTCTCGCGCCCTCCTTCTAGCAGCACCATAACAATTTGGTATCAGTTAGCTTCGGTTCGATCATGTCTTCACCGCCGTCCAACCTGTCTCTTCCGCTGCCGGTCACCTCGTCGCCTCCGGCGACCACCACGATCGTCGCCCCGCTCCTACCCGCATCGGGATCCTCCATTGAGCCCGCCCCCGTCGTCCTCACTCCGGAGGAGGTGTCCGGGGCACTGCGGGACCTAACACAGGCGGTCCAGGAGATCCGCCTGTTCTTGGCCGGGTCCTACGGGCCGCACCCGGCTGCGCCGCCGTGGCTGCCGTGGTAGCCGCCGCACCAGGCGGCCCTCGCCGCGCTCGCCGGGCTGCTGCAGTAGTCGCTGCAGCTGCCATCCGCCGCCCCGTCTTGGCTGCCGTGGCAGCCGCCGCACCAGGCGGCCTCTATCGCGCTCGCTGAGCCGCTGCAGCTGCCATCCACCGCCACCACCGCCCCGTCCTAGCTGCCGTGGCAACCGCCGCGCTCACCGGGCCGCTGCAGCAGCTGCCACCCACCGCCACCACCGCCACCGCCACCACCGCCCCGCCCTGGCTGCAGTGGCAGCCACCGCTCCTGGCGACCTCCGCCGCGCCCGGCGCTCCGCCGCAGCAGCCGCTGCAACTACAACAGCCATCGCCGGTCAGCTCCGGCCCCGCATCGACTGCACCGACGGGAGTCCTGATCCACCAGATCAAGTTACCGCCGTCGCCATCACCGCTTCCCCGGGGCGTCCCCATCCAGCAGATCAAGTTCCCGCCGTCGCCGTCACCTCTTCCAGCTTGGATCACTACCCGCCAGCCGCCACGTGTCGGCGGAGGTGAGGCTGCAGGCTGCTGCACGCGGCCTCCTAGCGCGTCGGCGTGTGCGGGAGTTGCGTGGTCTACAGCTGGCGCTCCTCCCAGTTGCGCTTTGCCGCGCAAAGGACCTCGATCTCGTCCGCTGCGTCGGGGATCTTGGGCATGCTGTTTTCCCCACGGACAACGCCCTCAAAGTCTGCGACATCAGCGGTTGGGGAGGTGCACCCCTCTCGCCATTCTCCATCGACAGCCCTCCACTCTTCTATGTGCGGTGCCGACCAACAGCCGTCCGGCGGGGAGAAGGCATGGTGTCACCGACAGAAGCGCACCGCGTAGCACCACTGCATTCCGCCGCTGGCCGCCGCGAGGGCGCCTCTGCTGGTCGCTCTTGCGACCACTTCCAGGTGGCCATACACATGCACTCCTTTTGTCCAGATGGTGTCCATGGGATCCAGGTGGCTGTACACGTGCATGTCCGACGTGCGGATGGTATCCACTTTTTGTTAAGAGGTTCAAAATAAATCATCCCAGTCCATTTCAGGTTGAGAGTAATAAAACAAGCCGAGATGTAAAAGGCTTGTTTTTAGGTGTTAGGTCTGTGTTGCGTCGAGTCATGGTTATAAGTTGGTTAGGCTGCAGCTCGAGGACAAGCTGCATGTCCAGGTGGGGTGTAGTGTTATAGTACGTAATGGGCCTAATGGCCTGGGCTGGCGGTATAGCCCGTTAGTCTTAGGGTTAATTAGAGATAAGGGTCGCTTGCTTAGGGGTCAAGTAAGCCTTGCTTGGGAGTCAAGTAAATCTCTCTATATAAAGAGAGATGTATCAATCTAATCAAGCAAGAATTAAGAAGGAAATCCCTTCCATCTTGCCCGGCCGTGGGCAAAAGGTCCCCGGCCGGCCCTCTCGCGCCCTCCTTCTAGCAGCGCCATAACAGGCTAGGATTCCTGTACTGCTACAAGTTATTAGATTCAGAGTCTAGATTAGTTATTAGGTTCAGATCCGTATTAGATTCAGAGTCTAGATTAGTTATTAGGTTCAGATTCGTATTAGATTCAGAGTCCAGATTAGAACCTGTTTCAGAGTCCAGATTGTATTTCCTTTTGCGTCGGCTTGTCAGCCAAGCTATTCCTCCTATATATTGGGCTTCTCCCATGATCAATAAATCATCAGTTTTGCTAAAGCACATCTAGATGTGCCATAAGTATTGCACATCTAAGTCCTATGTCATTGATCTTACATTGAGATTCGTGTGGATATTTTCTTTTTCTTTTTCCTTTTCCTCTTTATGCATGATTCACTCACTTAGATGTGCAATAACTAGAGCACATCTAGATGTGCCCTAGACACACCCATAAATCATCAGAATTCAGAGTATTACTATCTATTAGGCCTAGAAGTAATTAGAGTTTGTTCCACTAGCCTTGAGAGGAGTATCATCTGAATTCTTTATTCTGATATTTTCACTCTTTTGGATGTTAGGTGTCAAAGGACATCAAATATGCTGATAATCAACCAATAGTTCCCTGGGGACCTAGGTATAGTCATTTGATATCAGAACCAAACTTTTCTTGCATATATGTTTGTTCATCATATTGTGTACATTTTGATTTACATGGATGCACCCAGCACTCATATGAACCTTCAGCTTGCCTTGTTTATGCATGCGTGAACATGAACAACTGAACATCCTTCTCTTGACTTACTCAACGCTTAGGGCCTCTTTGATTTGCGGGAGTTGTCTCGTTTCCTGTGGGAATGGAACTAATTCTGTGAAAGCTGCACGTGTCAAATATGCCCTTACAAACATTGTTTACGAAACCAGACTTGTGGTCCAACCAGAATAAACCAGAACTGGTGCCTGATCCGGTCCTTTTTGCCTAAAAGGTTGTTTGACTTGAAAACTGAGAAAATAGTACCAAAATAAAGCATGTGACCCTGGCGTGAAGCTGAGGCCTCAAACCCATCAAGCTGGGGTCCAATACAAACATGGGCTACATAGCCTTTGTGAGAAATGTGGCAAGTAAGTTGTAGACTATTTTTAGAGCATATGAAGTGCTATCAGCTTATATTTAATTTGAAATCAATTTAATATATTATGTTCGAAATTTTGAACCACGGGTTGACTGGCTGAGCTGACGGTTGGAACACCAAACCAGTGAGCGAGTAGGTTAATCGGTTTGTTTGGTCCTTATTTATTTATTTATTTATTTATTTTGCTTATAGATAGACCCTTATTTTGACTTCTCTTAGATGAATGTTGATCTGTTCACATGTTACTGATAAATGTGAAGTCTTTATGCTAGTTCTATGCAAAATATATTCACGCTGGGCATTGGATAATGCTGTTTATAATATGTTGATACTGGTCATCTTCCAGATACTCTAGAGCGACTGCAAAGGACCTCCAGATAAATATGGCAATATCAGCAACATTTGTAAGAAATTCTTTTCTGAAATATCCATAAAAAATCTAAATGATTCCATATGCAATTATTAATATTTTTTGTGTTTTAGTAAAAAACTGCAGTACTGCTTTGGTCAGCTCCACTCCATGTTGTCTCAAACACAGAAGTTTAACTTGGAAACGACTGAATGATGTTTCTCTTTTCTTTTTTCATATTTTAGCATTACTTCGGAATAATTTAGCTTTAGCTTAAATGTTCTATGCATTTGTACCTTTTCAAATTGTTCTATGAAAGTATGCACATTTTTTTTTCGAGAAAACGCAAAAGAGTTGCGTTTCATTGCATTGAACAGGAAGACATCGGGGGTACAACCTTCAGAAAGGAGGGACACACACACACACACGACCGTCCTCACCAAATGACTACAGCTAGGTGAGGAGGTGCCCTCAACTACAGACACTCAACGACATTAGGCCTCGCCCAGCCTTGCCTCCAGCCAAAATGGCGAAGCACCGAGACTCGGAGCAACAGGGCAGCATCACTGCCATTGCAAGACACTTCCAGGGACGAATGCAGCTTCAGGACTGCCCAGGCCGACGTACCTCGCACCCATGTGCCTAGAGAGTCGGCGGGTGAAGGCAGGGCCTGATTGGAACTCGTGTAGCATTCATTGGGGAGCGCCAGCGCAGGCAAACGTTGCGACCTGCTCCTTGTGTAGCAGTCTACGCCAGAGCGATGCATCGCCAACCACCATCTGTCGCATCAAGAACTCCACTTGCAGCCAAAGCAGCGCCATCAAGAGGGGAACGGCGTTGAGACGCCGCCGCTGCCCGGTCCGGGAGGCCGGACCTAGGATTTCTCCCGGTGCTCGAGGAGGAGGTCCGGTCAGGGTCATGCCAACGCCTCCAAGGAGGTGACGGCACCCTCGGGCGTCGCCGCAGACAGCGCAGGTCGTCGCCACGCGGGGATTTCGCCCCGACCCAAGAACGAAGACCTCAGATGCAGTGGCAGACCGGGCATGGCGCAGAATCGTCGGAAAAGACCAACACACATGGGGGAAGCCTAGAAACGTTGTCGTCGCAGGAGTGGGCACCGACCAGCGCAGCTCCAGCAGGCCGGCCACCATCGGGAGCGCGTCCAGCAGGCGGCAGCAGCCACCTGCACCACGCCGCCGCCGCGCTGGCCCGCAGCCTCCGCCGCCAGGATCCGCCGGGGCACAGCGGAGCAGCAACCGTCAGGGTCGCCGCACGCGTGCTTACTAACCCAGCGGCAACCGCCGGCGGCGGCCGGGAGGGGTGGGAGGAGGGAGAAGGGTTGGTGGGGGCAGAGCCTGGGCGGGCTCGTGCGGCCCAGATCTGGGCGCCCTCAACTCTGCCGCACGCATCAGCGGCCGGCGGCCGCCATGGCAGCGCCACCGCGCACGCAGTCCACCCCATCTCGACCTCCCCGCGAGCAAACGGCCGCCCGCCGCGCCACCGCGCGCTCCCGCCGCTCCAGCGCGCCCAGCAGCAGCGCGCGAGCACACGAACGAGGGCCCCGCCGCCGCCGTCCACCGGTGAGGGCTTTGCCCGCCGGCATCCTCCGGCGACGGCGAGGAGAGGGAGGGGAAGGAGGGGAGCCTGGGCGGCGGCTAGGGTTTCGCCTCCCGAGTCGCCCCTGGGAGCGACGCGGGGGCTGGGAGGGGTCCCTGGTCAGTATGCACATTTATCTCGTCGCACTTAATTATATTGATGGAATCAGCAAACATATGTAGTTTGTTCTATTATGTTCGTTTGTATATTTTCTTGCAGATCACGTGCATATTGACCATGGGCCATGCAGACTGGAAACCCTTGCAATTTTTGTGTTTTGCTTATTTCTATCGAGTACTTGAGAAACTGAAGTCTACGGAGCCAGTAATAACTCCTGTATACAATGTAAGGATCTTCCTAAGTACGGAGTAGTTTCTACACAATGTTGGCATTAACATGAACGATCTATTGGTCCAGGGTTTGTTTAGGTAGTACAAATATAATAACAAAAATATACCTTTGGAATCATGGGAGTTAAAGTGAGATGTTTTTCCTCCCCCCTTTTTATTATAATGCTTGGAAGAACACACTTGTCATTAAAATTCATTTATTTCTTCTGTGCAATAGTCCAATGTGTGTTTTTTACTAGGCCAATAGTTTGTAGCTTCACACTTCATGAAAGAAGACATCTTATAGAGTGAATGGCATCTCCTTGAGTTGAAAATGCTTTATTATGTTAGTACATGCTTGTTTTAAGTTTGTTTTCATATATTTTAGTAGGAAGACATGCACATGTTTTTAAAGAGGATAATGGTTGTGCACCAAATTTAGCTAAATGCAGTTTTGGGGTTCTGAACAAGGTGGTGCTGTCAACAGATGGAATATTGGATCACTTGTACTTCTTCTAATTAGTTATTACCCTATTCACTAGACATATTATTTACTCGATGAGTGATTGAACATAATATCCAAATACAATGTTTATGGCAGGAGTACGGTGAGGTTGAAGGCCGAGGTATACATATGGCAAAGCGAGTGCTTCGTAGTTTGGGTTTGGTACTTGGATCGATATTTGCTGCATCCCTGGTTAGTGAACTGTTCAAATACAGCGCAATCCAGATTAGTTGTATTAGTTTCTCTTCCCGTGTTGTTTCTCCAGCTTTCTTAATCGCTTCTCAGTATGACTTCTTTGTATCCTTTTGCTTTCAGGGTTATACCGGACTGGCCAATTTCTCCCAGTTTCTTGGTCACTATATTCCTTCTGTTGTTTATAACTTCCAGGTACAGTATGCATGGCGATATGTGTGTATTGTTGCTTGGTATGGTTTCATTTTTTTACGATGGATTAGAAGTATCAATTTTTATTATGCCAAACTTGTGGATATTTGTTCTTGGAGTTTAAAACTACATTTAGGTTTATAATACGGATGAGTCAATGTGCTTGGTTTACTTAACATCTGAGGCAACTTTTTTCTTCCTTCTTTTTTTGCCAAAAAGGATATTTAACATGAACTAGAAAGCTAGCAAGTTAGTACTCCTCAAAGTATTTTAACTAGAAAGGTCACTGGAGCAAGTGCATGATGCTTTTCTGGTGGAAAACATGAATAAAAAAATGAATATTCTCTTTTATGTACTCTAAAAAAACGAATATTCTCTTTTATGTACATTAGTGTCAAAAAACGCTCTTATATTATGGGACGGATGGAGTATCTTGCAACAGCAAACTATTTTTTTATAGAGTAATAACAGCAAAACTAATCGGTGGACATCTCATTGCAGGAGTTGATTGTGACCACAGCTTCATCCGTTCTGCTTTGCATATTGGCTACGTACTACCGATAGCGATTGTGCTGGACTGCCCCTTGTTTTTGCAGTCCTGATACATTGCCACTCAATCATCTTCATCTTCATCACGCGACCATCTTCATCTTCACTAAGGGGTTGTGCTCGGTACCTACATGCATACTCTGTCGCGGAAACCCAAAGCTGTGAGAAATTTACTCTTAGATCTGGAAATTTGCACAGCAGATAGACGTCGCTGTCCAACGGTTCTGGAGCTGAAATCAGCATACAAGAGAGAAACAGCTAACAGAAGAATTTATCAAGCGAAGCGCTGATGATGTAGGAAAACTAGTCCTAGCGACTCCCAGCGTATATTTCCACATTTGTCACCCAGTTTCCTCGATGCCTCAATTCGATCGCAAAGTTGTACAACTAAAATTCGCATGTTATTCTCGTGAGCAATGAATCGCAAGCATGAGCTCTTGTGTAGGAGTACAAGTTGTTGGAGTGCTTGTCTGTTTTGGGTGTCGACGTCATCTCTCATACGCAGTAGGGCGTGCAATGCAATCCACCATCCACAAGTGTCACAAGCATCAAACTGTAGCTCTAACTTAAATTGCTCGTTCGTACATGCTCACCCATATTCTTCGTACTAGAGGACTGAAAACGAGGCTCCCGTTCGTAGCGGAGGCAGCATCAGAATGAGATCTACTCGAGCGCGCAGCATCAGAATAAGTATGTTGCGGTAGGTGCTAGCTGCTTCGTACCACCGCATCTCCGTGTGCCCCGTGCATGGAGAGCCAATGCCAAAAGCATTCTCGGAACTCGAACGAGATTCTATTCCTACTACCTCGACCGGCGCCGGTGTTTGTTCCCCTTCGCTCGTTTCGGCATCGCCACCCACGAGGCCATGACGCATCGCATGAATCCACGGCGGGATTAAACAAGACCCGATCAGTGCCTGCGCCTAGCTAGCCCACGCGAGGACCGAGCAAAATAACACGCGAATTTCCACGTCGCTTTTCTCCGAGCTGTCGTACGCGCCTCGAAAGCTACCGTGGCAACTGTATCCGTTTCGTCCTATAGCTTGTCCTCTGCGAACGATCGGACGGAGTGCGGTGCTGGACGCACGCACCAAAGCACACCAGCACAAAAAATAATGTGAACTGAAGCCATTTTTTTCTGAAAATTATTTTCTGTTGTTGTGTTGTTGCTTGTCCTGTGGCTCCTGGTGTAAGCTTGGTTGGTGTTATTTCGTGAAGTGTTTCTGTACGGGTGTACACGTGGGCACGCCTGCATGCAGCTGCAAGCGCCACATGCATACGGAAGCATCTCGAAGGACTGAGGAATAGAAAACGGGGTGCGTTTGTTCCGTATCCCTCTAAACAGGAGGGGATTGTTTGTAAATTTTATTAGTGCCTAGTGTCAGAATCTATGCAACATCAGCTGTTCTATTGGCGCTGTGCTCAGGTAGCTACTTGTTCCTACTTTCCAAGTTCCGACAGATCGGTGGGGACATCCTCTGCAGCTTAGTACTTAGATGCAATATATACGGTATAATACTACTAGTAGAATTGTGACGTAGCACGTGGTCAGTGCACTTGGTTTGGCTATCACGTGATAAGTCCAGCTCCGCCGAGCGGAAGACTGTCCAAGTCCCCATCGAGCCCACGCGGGTGTGGATCCAAGTCGACAGCGTTCCTTTTCGGCAAACAGTTTGAGCCCACATCAACCTACGAATAGGTGTTTCTTGACCACGCATTTATTACCAGTTGTGTGCATCTTCGGATGTTGAGACCGAGAGGCTGTTAGTGTTAACTTTGTTGCATAGGTCTGGTTCATGTTTCATTTGTATTGCATAGTTTCATTGTCGTACGATTTCAGTGGCCAGCTAGGTTGAAGGAAAATTGCATGTGTTGCTGCATGATACAGACGGATCAGGGACTGAAGAAGCAGGAAGATACAAGCGTACGCCGCGGCAGCCACATCCGAGTCAGTAGCCGAGCATGCAAGTGCTTTTGGAGTCGGCTTGGATTTTTTTTTTGTTGTTGACAACATTGGAGTCGGCATGATGCGTTCGGTAGGCCGTGTCGATCCTAGTCAGACCCGAAAAGAAAATGGTTGTACCAATAACTTCATCTCAATGTTTCACACGACTTTCATGTTGTACATTTTTCGTTTCAACCATCATAGATGAGTATATGTGCATATACATATATTCGTATTGTACTAAGGTGGTCATGTGATGATTTATGGTTTAGACAAATTTTAGAGTGGCTTCTTTCTGTTCTCCCGGATCATCGTCAACTTTTTTTTAGAAAAGGAGGATGACCCCTGGCCTCTGCATCTGGGAGATGCATGCAGCCATTTTATTGATTATTCTCGAGGACCTTACAAAGTAGTACAACAATATGCCTGAAACCGCCATCTTGGCAACATATGCCCCCACTCCTATCCATATGATGAAGGGGTGCAAACTGGGCCATATACCCAGACCTCTCACCTAAACCTAATATCTAAAGCCGGAATCTCCGATCGAGCCACATAACGGGTTCGGGGCACAATCCAGTCCGACGCACTCACATGTGTCATCGCCACCATCTTCCACTGGTCCAATTTCAGAGCAGATTGAGGTACCAACCTTGACAGGTTCCTCCGCCATCGATGGCACCATGACGCCAAACGACGACCACCACCTATGCCTTTCCATCTTCAAGCCGAAGGAGCGCTACCACAAGATGAAGACCGGCGGTAGAATAGATGAAACGTTGCACACATTGCCGCTGCCAAACACCTCACACACACCGCAAAGCGCCCACCGTGCTTCCGGGAACCCGAGGCCACGCCTTCAAAAAGGAGCACGACGAGGGTACGACGCCGTCGCCCACAAGGGGAACTAGAGCTTTCGCCCAAAAGAAGAGCATAGTGAAAGATGGGAGAGGACCTCGACAAGGCCTCCAAGAAGGGAACCGACGCCCAGCAAAGGCGCCGCCATTGTCGTGGCCTTCGCCGACGGCCAAGGGTTTCCCCCGGACCTGCCCCATCCCATCCACTCGGCCAAAGACCTGGCCAGAGGAGCGCACGCAGCCGGAGAAGGCGTTCGACTTCATCGAAGCAGGCATGCCGGGTGACGGGGCTGAAGGAAATATGCCCTAGAGGCAATAATAAAGTTATTATTTATTTCCTTATAATCATGATAAATGTTTATTATTCATGCTAGAATTGTATTAACCGGAAACATAATACATGTGTGAATACATAGATAAACAAAGTGTCACTAGTATGCCTCTACTTGACTAGCTCGTTAATCAAAGATGGTTATGTTTCCTAACCATGAACAATGAGTTGTCATTTGATTAACGGGATCACATCATTAAGAGAATGATCTGATTGACATGACCCATTCCATTAGCTTAGCACCCGATCGTTTAGTATGTTGCTATTGCTTTCTTCATGACTTATACATGTTCCTATAACTATGAGATTATGCAACTCCCGTTTACCGGAGGAACACTTTGGGTACTACCAAACGTCACAACGTAACTGGGTGATTATAAAGGAGTACTACATGTGTCTCCAAAGGTACATGTTGGGTTGGCGTATTTCGAGATTAGGTTTTGTCACTCCGATTGTCGGAGAGGTATCTCTGGGCCCTCTCGGTAATGCACATCACATAAGCCTTGCAAGCATTGCAACTAATGAGTTAGTTGCGAGATGATGTATTACAGAACGAGTAAAGAGACTTGCCGGTAACGAGATTGAACTAGGTATTGGATACCGACGATCGAATCTCGGGCAAGTAACATACCGATGACAAAGGGAACAACGTATGTTGTTATGCGGTCTGACCGATAAAGATCTTCGTAGAATATGTAGGAGCCAATATGGGCATCCAGGTCCCGCTATTGGTTATTGACCGGAGACGTGTCTCGGTCATGTCTACATTGTTCTCGAACCCGTAGGGTCCGCACGCTTAAGGTTACGATGATAGTTATATTATGAGTTTATGCATTTTGATGTACCGAAGGTTGTTTGGAGTCCCGGATGTGATCACGGACATGACGAGGAGTCTCGAAATGGTCGAGACATAAAGATTGATATATTGGAAGCCTATGTTTGGATATCGGAAGTGTTCCGGGTGAAATCGGGATTTTACTGGAGTACCGGGAAGGTTACCGAAACCCCCCGGGAGCTAAATGGGCCATGATGGGCCTTAGTGGAAAAGAGAAGAGGCAGCCCTACGTGGGCTGCGCGCCTCCCCCTTCCCCTAGTCCTATTAGGACTAGGAGAGGTGGCCGGCCCCCTCTCTCTCTTTTCCCCCTCCGCGAATCTTATTCCAACTAGGATTGGGGGGGGGGGATCCTACTCCTAGAGGGAGTAGGACTCTCCTGGCGCGCCACACCTTGGCCGGCCAGCCTCCCCCCTCTAGTCCTTTATATACTGAGGCAGAGGCACCCTAGAACACACAAGTTGATCCACGTGATCTATTCCTTAGCCGTGTGCGGTGCCCCCAGCCACCATATTCCTCGATAATACTGTAGCGGAGTTTAGGCGAAGCCCTGCTGCTGTAGTACATCAAGATCATCACCACACCATCGTGCTGACGGAACTCTTCCCCGACACTTTGCTGGATCGGAGTCCGGGGATCGTCATCGAGCTGAACGTGTGCTCGAACTCGGAGGTGCCGTAGTTTCGGTGCTTGATCGGTTGGATCGTGAAGACGTACGACTACTTCCTCTACGTTGTGTCAACGCTTCCGCAGTCGGTCTGCGCGGGTACGTAGACAACACTCTCCCCTCTCGTTGCTATGCATCACCATGATCTTGCGTGTGCGTAGGAAATTTTTTGAAATTACTACGGAACCCAACAGGGGCACCCTGACCCACTGTAGTAGACGTCCACCGAGACCTCGCCGCCCGCGCGGCCGAAGTCGCGGACCACCAGCACCCACGGTCGTTGCCCGCAGAGGCAACACCGTCCACACCACCCGAGGCCGCTACCCCGGCATCCACCCACCGCACACATCCCGTCGAAGCATGGAGAAAGACCCACACCGCCAC